GAACAGGTTTTGTGTGTTTAATGAGTTTATCCGAGGTTTGTTTATTCGAAAGTTTCATTGCGATCAATACATAAAAATAGAGTTTATATTCTTTGATTCTGGTTTGCCTCGTTTTGTGACAAATCCTTTTGAAGAGTAAGGGAATGGTGGGGATATCATGAACACAAAAGTATGAGTGGGATTAACGAGGCTATAGAAACTTTAAGTTCGAGGACCACTCACATGACCAAGGGCAAATAGACTTCAAGTAACGTTCGTGCGAATGGTTCAAGTCTAGACGAGTGAAAGACGAGCACAGGAGCGAAGTTGAGAATTGGACGTGTTATCTACAACTACAAGTGAAGGATGAGAAACATAGAATTGAAACGAACCGTTCCAGTTCTGACTTGGACCGTTTCATATCGCGATGCCTAGACCGAATCGAGCCAACGTACGTTAACTCAGACCGATTTCGTTCGCGTCAATTTTGTTCAAAAACTTGGCCCGAACCATTCTAGTTCTAGACTGGACCATTCCAGTTATATATATATCGGACCGTTTTAGTTCTAGACCGAACCGAATCATGTAATCGATTTTATTTAGAGGATTAAAACAAGTCGTTCAAATCTGAACCTAATTGTTTCCACTTTTACGAATTATTTCTTAATTGTTCAAATATAAGTGTCATGTACAGCTAAATTAAAAATGAATCTTTAAATGATTTTTTTATGTCAAAGAAATGATTTTGTTTTAATGTTGAGAAGATTTTCTTTTGAGATTCGCATTCGGGATTCATGTGAAGGTTTAGTGCAATGTGTTTCCATTAGTCTAAATAATAATAATAATAATAATAATAATAATAATAACAATTATATCAAATTTATAAGGTTTTGGTGTGAGCGGTGAGGCTCGTGATGTCTCTGGCCATTGACGAGATATTATCCAAATTAACGACTAACCTTCATTAATTAATGTTTGTATACGGAATGCTAATCACTATACGTTGATTGATTACAACAAAGGCTTAGAAAAAGAAAAACTCTAAATATGAATGCCAAATCTGTAAAGAAGCTTCTAACAGTAAGCGAACCCACGAGATTCATCTCATTCAAACCTCCACAAAGAAGGAACGGGATGCTATATAAACCCTAGCTTCGGTCTCAAGTTTCACACAACACACAAACATATCAGAGGGAAAAAAAACTAAGTGATGAATCTTAGGGCTCTCTCACTTCTTTTCCTACTCGTGGGTTTTTGTGGGGTTAAGTGCAAGGCAGATCAAGACCTACAATGCGAAGATACACAGCCTTTCACGTGTAACGACACTGGCACTATGAACAAAAGCTTGTTCGCCGATGACTTCCTCTTCGGTGTCGCCTCTTCTGCTTACCAGGCACTACATATAATCCAACTCTTTACTTAATTAGTGACTAATCACATTTCTAATACATAATTAATGGACCATACATCCTAATATAATATATAATTATGCCTCGATCGTTCTTGGGCTTGCTTCAGATCGAGGGTGCGGAGGGTAGAGGTCTCAACGTTTGGGATGGATTCACTCATCGTTATCCATGTAATATTATTTTAAATTAAATATAAATGTTCATCATTTTTCATCATGTGTATGTTCATCGCTAACTGTATATTGTCTTTGTATATTCTCCGGCAGGGAAAGGAGGACCAGACAACGCCAACGGTGACACGGCTACTGGATCATACCCAGACTTCAGTGTAAATAACTAAAATGTTATAATATAATATGAATCTGTTTATATTCGTGTACTTTGTATGTGTATATATAAGATTGACGAAAAACAAAACATATGGTGCAGAGAGATATTCAAGTGTTGAAAAAATTGGGGGTTAATGCCTACAGATTCTCATTTGCGTGGTCAAGAATCATTCCCGGTACGTAGCATGCATTACACTTTGATCATAGTATACAATTGACTGTCGTCATTATATATACAAAGATCTGCTATAATTATTACACAATGAGCAGGAGGAAGGGCAAGCCGAGGGATCAATGAAGAAGGCGTTCAATACTACGATAACCTTATAAACGCACTTGTAGCAGCAGGTACGTACGTACACACGGGCCAACGTGTGTGTGTATATATATGTGTAAGTTTCCGTACGTACGTATATATATATATATATATATATATATGTCTTTCATGCATGGCTCTCAAAAATTAAACACGTTGACGACGACAGGAATACGGCCACTAGTGACTCTCTTCCACTGGGACCTTCCTCAAACACTACAGGATGAGTACGAAGGTTTCCTGGACCGTCAGATCATGTACGTTACGTAAAGCTTTCATTTGTACAAATTTCATTTTTTTCTTTCATATATATATTAAAGTTTTGGGGTAAATTAATGAAATATGCAGAGAAGACTTCAAAGACTACGCGGAAGTATGCTTCCAGAGATTTGGGGATAGAGTGAAGGATTGGATAACGATCAACCAGATATACACGATCCCTACGAGGGGCTATGCCATGGGGACAGATGCACCGGGCCGCTGCTCAGCATGGCTCAACCTGGGCTGTTATGCCGGCGATTCTGGAAAAGAACCTTACAAAGTCGCTCACAACGCACTTCTTGCTCACGCCACCGTCGTCGATCTTTACCGCCAGAAATACAAGGTTCTTAGATGTCTATATATATGTCTATATACATATATATGCTGTGTTGAATCTTGCGTTTCTATTGCATATATGATATGTATATCTTGTTAACATTCTCTGGGTGCAGCCGTCCCAAGGTGGTCAGATCGGAATCGTGATGATAACCAGATGGTTCCTCCCATACGACAACACTAAGGAAAATATAGATGCGGCCGAGAGAGCAAAAGTGTTCTTCATCGATTGGTACGATAATTATATAAACTAAGTATGTCGATGATATATATAATAGATTCTTTGGAAACTGCTAAACTCAGTGCATATGTTTGTATGTAGGTTCATGGAGCCTCTAACGTACGGAGAATACCCATCCTTGATGCGGGAAATGGTCCCAGACCGCTTGCCCAATTTCACGACCGAAGAGTCGCTGCTTGTGAAGGGATCGTTTGATTTTCTTGGAGTGAATTATTACGTGACTCAATTTGCTAGGGCCATTCCCCCAAATCCTCCGGACAGACTCTATGTCTTCAACGATTCACTCGCCGCACTCTCATGTATATACGTCTCCTTTTCCTCTCGGCCTGTGTGAATCCATCGTATCTCCCTCTTATTTAACTTTCACTTTACCTTCTTCATTGCGCAGTTGAAAATAAAGACGGACCCATCGGCCCATGGGTACACTGATTCCATACATATATATATATACAATGATTCACATTTTCTTGTGTATATGTGTATGTTACTAACGAGTTGCACTTGGTGCTCGCAGTTCTTTGGGACAGATTATTATCATCCAAGAGGCATTCTTCATGTTCTTGAATACTTGAGAAAGAATTTCAAAAACCCTATCATGTATATAACAGAGAACGGTGAGAGACCTCAACTTTTTTTTCTTCACATATATACCTTTACGAATGCATGTGTATATAACCGTGCACATTAAAATTACGTTATACTGTGAGTAGGATATAGAAGCGACGGGACATCCCCGCTCGAGGAAGCTATGAACGATTACAACAGGACAGATTATCTATGCAGCCATCTATGCTTCATCCGACAAGCCATCATGTGAGTGTTTCGAGATTATTGTAATATATGTCAACTTCAATTGGACTACACACTCGTAACACGTTTTATCCCATTGTATAGCAACAAATGCAACGTGAAAGGGTACGTCGCTTGGTCCCTGGGCGACAACTACGAATTCAACGCTGGATACAGCGCCCGCTTTGGATTGAGTTACGTCGATTTCACCAATCTGACGGCGGAAAGACCCTTGAAATCATCTGGAAAATGGTTCCAAAAGTTCTTGAGCACGCCTAACAAGGAAGAAGTTCTTCCTCCTCTGATTCAAGAACGTGGCTCTCCCAACAATGGTCACAGGAAGATTGCTCCAGCATGAAGTGATATAATCACAAAAATAATGTGATGATCATCTCCCTAATAATGTGATTAATAATTAGGTCTCCTATACAAAGGAGGCTCTTCTAGTATAATCACAAAAATAATGACAATAAAATGATGATCATCCCTTGTGTTGTTAATGTAATGTGTTATGTGAACCTTATCTTGTTTGTGCATGCAATGTTCAAATATGCAGTAATGTTTTTTCTGTGATCTCTCTTTATTACTATATACGGAACGTTATGTTTAAGTCAGAAAGTTAATTAATGGAGAATTCAAGTGGCAATAATATTAAGACACCCCTAGAGAAATGAACCAATTAGAAGCTAATCTCGACCATTAATCTAATCACAATTAAATGATCTCTAGTCAATATACATGGATTCTCATTGGCTATTAGACCTCTAATGGAGATATTGGTCTCTAATTATCCAATTTAAACACCCATGCATTTACACACGTTTTTTTCCTTCTTCCACGAATTGGTTAACACAAATTGCTGACTTTTATGATTAATACCTTAATTAATCACTATTCATCTATATGGTTTTAACTTTAATGATTCTTTAGCTTAATAAAATGACATCTTATTGTGAAATTAATTGCATAAAATGTTCATTCCCTCCACCAATCCATTTTGGTTCGCCCAATTGAAAAATGAATGAGTTAATTCTATAAATATTTCTTGCAGAATAATCTTCGAAATAAGGTTTACGTGCCATACATCTTATACACCCCTTTCCCGTCTCTTTGGATTGCATGGGATGAGACGACCGAAAATGTCACGAGGTAACCAAAACGAAAGGAAATCCAAATCTGTCCGAAATCAACGGCACACTCCGTTTGACAAGGCGGCGGCGTGAGCGTGGATTACCAATTTTCTTAATCAACGGTCATAAATCACAATGGCGTCAATGGCTACATCCTGACCGTTGATTCCAAAAAGGAGCTAAAAGCTTTCATTTCCGAAGATCCATCCTCTATACACTTTCTTCGTTCGTTTGCGTTCCTCCCCCTCTCCCCTTTCTTTGATTTTCTCGCCATCTGAACAGAATCTGGATGTAAAAATTTCATCAGAAACTGACGAATGTTGGGGCAAATCCGAAGCTGGAAGAGGTAGAGTGGCTCCCCCCACCTTTGCAGGTTTAGAGTGGCTCCCGAACTGTTCGCAGTTTCAACAATCATCCGTGAAATATTCTTCCAGAAGGGAAAAAAAATCTTCCTCTTTATTTCGTTGTCTCGCATTTCCAAACCGATGAGAAGCTAGGAAATGAGTGAGATCTGTTGCGGTGACGCTTGGTTGATTTGTTCATTTGCTTTCGCAGGTGCAATCGGAAGATTGTGGAGTGAAATTGGACGGGATATATCACAGAGATTTTAAGTTTTTCATCTTCTGCAAATCTAGGTTTCTGCTTTTTCTTCAAGTTGCCAGAATTTTCGCAAGGATTTGCGTATACAGGTTATAGTTTTTTTTTCATTTTTTTGTTAACTCACCGGGTATTTGAAGAACTCGAAATTTCCCAGAAGATCTGTTTCCTCAGCGGCCTCCTCGTGACCTTCCAGCAGAAGATTATCAGGAAATCCAGGTGCGGTCATGCTTTGTCTCATGATATCAAATACTAGGAACATCCGATGCATTTTCATTCCAAAATTTGTCCGCAATTCAACAATTTCTTCAATCAGTTTTATCAAAACTTTTGCTGAATTTCACCAGATAAATCTCCGTTTCAATCTCTTATTTCGATTCGTTCCTTTTTTGTTGATTTCTCATCAGTCCAACTAGATTTTCTTCGTCCAGGATGCAGCTCATATAAACCAAAAATGGAAAGAGATTCGTGGAGTAGACTTAACGGCAAAACTAACGCCGTCACCAGTCCCAGAGAAATCGCCGGACCAAACGCACAAATCCCTAGAGCTGGTAGCTCTGATCTAACGAGACAATCGACGTCATCCGAATTGGTACCGCAGTGGGGGAACCGGAAACGGCTCAGATGCATGAAGGTGCTAGCGAAGGACGAAAGCATCGGTTCCGCTCCCCGATTCGACCGGCCGGTCCTGACCTCCCCACCCGGCAATGGTTATTCTAATCTCCGTCAACGATCGCATTCGCTTGTCCCTCCCGTGTCTCACCGTATTCTCCGGTAAGTTTTTCTCTGTCTATTTCCTTTTTGTTTCCGGTCTTAACCTTTTGTTAGCGAGATAATCCAAATCTTTACTTTATTAGGTCGGATTATATAATCTAGATACTGTTAGGGTTAGGTGAGGGTGACTGCAGACGGGTCTTTGATATTTTCGGGTCATCTAACATCGCACTCGCTGCCCTCGTGTTCCTCGGCCATGGGTGTTCGTGTTCCGTCTCGGCCTCATGACGCTTGGGTATCCATCCAGACTTTGGATACCCACAGAGTGTGTCGAAGGCCAAAGTACCTGATAGCACCCGATTGGCGAGGATAGCTAAAAGGGGGCGAGGTCAAGAGGACTAAGTTGAGGCCGATAACAGCTTGTATCAAACAAGCAGTGAAAAAGGAACGAACAGAGGAATTGGAAAATTTTCTCTGATTCTTCATTGAACAGTGTACACGTATTTATACATCGAAAAATTCCCTCTAACAAACTAACAAATTCTAAACAAATGAAAAAGGTGTGGAGGCTATCTAATGAACCGAAAAACAAACAGAGAGAATACTAAACCAATGGTACACTTAATTACAAACTGGAATGAAGACCACAGCTTCTCTCTCTCTGGTTTATTCAATCAAAAATGGCGGGAATAACAGAGGTAGTCGAGAGAGAAGATGAGCTCCGTTGATACTCCCCCTCAAGGTGGGCAGAGGATATTGTGAATGCCCATCTTGGATAGTAACTTGACAAAAAGGTCTCCAACTAAAGGCTTAGTAAAAACGTCTACTAGTTGATCCCGAGAAGCAACGTGCGTAGTTTTTCAGAACACCTTTCTTCAACAGATCTCGAACAAAGTGGTAATCAATTTCAATGTGTTTTGTCCGCTCATGGAATACTGGATTGCTTGCAATGTGAAGGGCAGATTGACTGTCACAGTAGAGAGTAACACGCTGTGGAATGTCGATGGACAGATCACGTAACAAGCCAGTAAACCAAATGAGTTCAGAGGAAGCTTGTGCCATTGCACGATACTCGGACTCGGCACTGCTTCGTGAAACAACTTGCTGCTTTTTGGATTTCCAAGAGACCAAAGAATCACCGATAAAGACGCAAAATCCGGAAACTGAACGTCGGGAATCAGGGCAAGCTGCCCAATCAGTATCCGTGTATCCACTGAGGCGAATGGTTGAGTTAATAGGGTACAGAAGTCCTTGAGAGGGTGAGCTCTTAAGGTATCGAAGGACCCGGTGAGCAGCTGATAAATGACCAGAACGGGGTTGAGACATAAATTGGCTGAGCTTTTGTACTGCGAAACTTATATCTGGACGTGTCATAGATAAGTATATGAGTTTCCCGATCAGTTTTCTGTAGTGAGTAACATCAGAGAGTAAGTCACCGGAATCAGCAGAAAGTTTATCCTTGGGATCCATGGAAGCTTTGGCAGGCTTGCTACCGAGAAAACCAAATTCTTCAAGAAGCTCCAGAGCATATTTGCGCTGACATTTATGAATGCCCAGCTTCGAGCGGACAATTTCTATACCCAGGAAATACCGCAAAATCCCAAGGTCTTTGATCTGGAAACAGGAACTCAGAAGTCGTTTGGTGGCATTGATCAAAACCAGATTGTCACCAGCAATTAACAGATCATCGACATACACTAAAACAACAACAAACCCAAGTGGAACATGCTTAACCACCATTGATTAAAATCTGAGAAAGCTTCAAATTCCATTGTCTTGAAGCCTGTTTTAGGCCATAAAGGGATTTGCGAAGTTTGCAAACATCATTTGGAGAAAAGATCTCCCCCTTAAGTTCGCCATATCCAGGAGGTAGCACCATATATATATCCTCAGATAATTCACCATGAAGGAATGCATTGGTCACGTCCATCTGATGAAGGTGTCAATGCTTAGCAGATGCCAATGCCAACATGGTTCGAATGGTAGACATTTTAGCCACAGGGCTAAAAGTGTCTAGATAATCAACACCCTCAAGCTGTGAGTACCCCTTGGCAACCAGACGGGTTTTGAACCGATCAATACTTTCATCAATGTGGTACTTTATCTTATAGACCCATTTACAACCTATGGGTTTCTTATCTGCTGGAAAAGAACAAACTTCCCAAGTTTTATTTCGAGACAGGGTATCCAACTCAAGAACCATGGCATCTCTCCACTGAGCAGAAGTTACAGCTGGTTTAAAGGTTCGAGATTCAGTTTCAGTGGTGATGGCTAAGGCAAACTGTTTGTAATCAGGAGAAAGAGAATCATAAGAGATGTAAGAGGAAAGAGGATAATTGGTGATACTGGTAACAGGTGGGGGTGAGAATGTGTAATCAGAAAACAATGATAGTCGGATAAGTAAGTCGGGGGTTTGGTTGGGCGCTGTGACCTGCGAATACTTTCTGCCGGAAACTCAGAAGATGGAACAGGAGGAATGTCTGAAACAGAGGATGATGGAATCTGTGATGAGGCAGGAAGAGAAGCCCTATCAGCAGAATCATAGAAAAGAAAATGAGATGGAGTGGGAGGAAAAAAGGAAAGAGTCGAGGAAACAATAGGTTTGTCCTTAAACGGAAACACATCCTCATGGAAAATGACATTTTTGGAAATGGAAATGGCATTTGAGTTCAAATCAAGAACTTTGTAACCCTTAACACCAGATGGGTACCCAAGAAAGACATGTGGAGTAGCCCGAGGAGTGAACTTATGACGAGAATGAAGAGGGGTAGTGACATAACACAGACAACCGAATACTTTAAATTGAGCATAAGAGGGTGGTTGCTGCGTTAGAACCTCAAATGGTGATTTGTTCTGAAGAAGAGGAGTAGGAGTTCTGTTTATTAAATAAACAGCAGTTTGAATACACTCACTCCAGTATTCAAGAGGAATATTAGACCGGAACAAGAGAGAGCGAGCCACATTTAGAATGTGTTGATGCTTCCGCTCTACCACGAAATTTTGCTAGGGTGTATAAGGGCATGATCGATGATGAATGAGGCCTTTGTCGTGTACAAGTTTCGGAAAGAAAAATTCAGGGGCGTTGTCAGATCGAAAAGCTTTAATAATAGTGTTGTATTGAGTATTGACATGGTTTAGAAACTGAGGAAAAACAGATACATCATCATGTTTACTGCGAAGCATATATACCCATGTCACTATAGTACAATCATCAACTATAAAAAGAAAGTAACGATGCCCAAGTGAAAAGGACCCTAAGTATCGAGGTGAACAAGATCAAAGGGTGCTGGGGAGATGTTTCCAACAGATGGGAAGGGAAGTTTGCGTTGTTTAGCTAATGGACAGATTGAACAATGAGGTAGATCTGACTTTGTGGAAGTAAACTGAAGTTGAGAAGATCTGCCCAAGGCTTGAACACGCAGAAAAAAAGGGTGTCCTAGACGAGAGTGCCAAAGATCAGCAGAATCAGAGGAAATGGCTGTGCAGAGTGTTCCCGGAAGAGAAACATGGCTTGGATCAGAACCCTGCACATCCAAAAGATAAAGATTGTTTTCTAGCCTACCCTTCCCAATCGTCAAGGCCCGAGTAGGGTCCTTGATGAGGCAAGAGTCATGGCAGAAAGACACAACGTAAGATCCTTCTGAAGTTAAAGAATTGATGCTGATCAGATTTAAAACAAAAAGAAGGCACATATAAGACAGAATGGAGAACCAAATCAGAGGATAAAATAACTGACCCAGAAAGGGAAACAGAGATCAGAGAACCATTTGGAAGAGTGAGTTGAATAGGGTCAATGAGTTTAATGGCAGAAAATATTTGCAAGTCACAACAAATGTGGTGACTAGCTCCAGAGTCCAATATCTAAACATGTGGTAAAGGTAAAGGGTTATGATGAATCGCAGAAAGAGCAAAAGGGTAGAGGGGAGAAGTACCTGAGAGTGGGAAGGGAGAGGAGGAAGCTGCAACATCTGAGATAGCAGAAGAAGTGCCAAGGCCCTTGAATTGAGACTGCAGCTGTTCTAGTAAAACCTGAGCTTGTTCAAAAGTGATCTGCCTTTTATCCGGAGGAGAACCCTGCAAAGCATTCTTGGATTCGGACTGAACCATATTCACAGGATGCTGGAATTTGTCCAGCTTTGGTTTAGGTAAAAGAGGGGGGTTTAGAAAAAGAGTTTGGGTATTTAGAAGAAGGTGGATAACCATGAATTTTATAACAACGAGAAATGGGATGCCCTGTCATTCCACAATGAGTACAAAGGGGTTTTGGTTTAAAATAAGAGAGTGTTGGCTTAGGGCGATTAGAAAAAGAAGCAGAAGTCTGGAAAACAACAGGGTCGACAGAGGGGAGGGTATTATGATGCTGTTCTTCCTGGGCAACCAAGCTATAGGCACGGGTTAAATTTGGCAGATGGTCCATCATCAACATCTGACGACGAGCAGGATGATAGTATTCATTCAACTTCATAAAAAATTTAACCACATTCTTTTTCTCACAAAGAGCAATCAACTTCTTATTAGCTTGGCAAGAACAGCCCCCACAACTACAGACTGGGTATGGTTCATACATTTTTAACTCCTCCCATAGGGCTTTCAGCTTAGTATAGAAGACACTGACGGTCATAGATCCATGTTGCAAAGTTTCCAATTGTTGTTCGAGGTGAAAAACCTTGGAATCCTTCTTCTGTTTATAACTGGTCTCAAGTATTGTCCAAATTTCACTGGCATCATCAATATTCATGACAAGACCAGCAATCTCAGGGGAAAGGGAGTTGGTAATCCAGTAACCAACAAGGGCATTACAGCGCAGCCACGTTCCGAGATCGGGATGATTCTTGGCGGGTTGGGGAATAGATCCATATATAAAGTCCAACTTGTTCTTGGCAAAAAGGCCCTTAATAATAGAACGAGACCATAGATTATAGTTTACCTCGCCCAATAGTTTCTCGGAAACCAGAGAAATGCTCGAAGAATCCGCAGCATGTAAATAGAGAGGATTAGCATAAGGACCCAGAGGAGAAGAAGAAACGTTATCAGACGGAGCAACAACAGAAGAAGGAGAAGACGAAGACTCAGTAGCCATTGCTAACGAGTGAAATCAGCAAAAAAAAACTTGAGAGAAAAATTCCAGAAGGAAAGGAAGCTTTTCACAGCTCTGGCAGTGAAAAAGGAACGAACAGAGGAATTGGAAAATTTTCTCTGATTCTTCATTGAACAGTGTACACGTATTTATGCATCGAAAAATTCCCTCTAACAAACTAACAAATTCTAAACAAATGAAAAAGGTGTGGAGGCTATCTAATGAACCGAAAAACAAACAGAGAGAATACTAAACCAATGGTACACTTAATTACAAACCGGAATGAAGACCACAGCTGCTCCTCTCTCTGGTTTATTCAATCAAAAATGGCGGGAATAACAGAGGTAGTCGAGAGAGAAGATGAGCTCCGCTGATAGCCGAGGGGACGAGTCTCGGGGCGAGGTTTGAATTTTTCATTTGTAAAAAAAAAAAGGCCATAGAACCTGTATTTGGAGAAATTGGCCCGCTGGGGGGTATTCGGGTCGGGTCTTGACATTTGGTGGAGATGCCTTTGGTACACTCCTTTGCCTTGACCTCGACTCAACACGTACCCTAGGCACCATGTAAAAGCATCTCCGAAAAAACACAAAAACATAAAGTTATTCTTCGTTCCAATGGATCATATTCGTCCAAGGAAGGAAACATGTGGCCTTGTTGGATCACAAAAAAAAAATTCACTTAAAAATCATCGAATCCATCCTTATTCAGGTGAACAAATCATTTTACCACTTCCCTTTAGGTCAAAAAAACATTTTTTTCCTTTTTCCGGGTTATTGATTTTTCCCCTTTTATTTTTTTTTTTGGGGGGGGGGGGGTTTCAATATATATATATGGCTTGCATATAATGTAGGTTAGTTTATTTTGAATTTGATTTAATTCTCTTTTATTAAACAATTATTTATAAACTAATTTCCATTTTTGTATACAGGAATCTTGAGAATTCTGGCGCCATGAGAGGACAAAAAAACAATAGCATCAACGATTCCAACGCAAATAAACCCGACGGGGCGGCGCACGATAGCAAGAAGGGAGGCGGAGAAGCGGCGGTTTGGCCGGGGAGGTTCATGATCGGTCTGACAAACAAAGAGAAGGAAGAAGATTTCTGGGTGCTCAAAGGGTCTAAACTCCCTCAACGGCCAAAGAAACGTGCCAAGCTCATCCAACGAACACTCAACGTGAGTTTATTACATTACCTAATTACTCCAATTTTTCTCCAATTATCGGGTTTGATCAGTGAAGTTAGATTAGACAGGGAGCATCCACCCTGTAGATAGTATGATACATAAATACACACACACACACACGTATGTATGTATGTATGTGTTACATGTGTCCGTTACATGCTTGGGGAAACTCTGGGTATATATAGTAATAGCAATGCTTATTAGCTTCGGTATTTTCTTGATGTCATCCGAATCCTGGTTTATGCTATAAAGACGCAAACTTTGTATTCCAACATCATTGTATGTATATGTATATTGATTGATTGAATAAATGTATCTTTTAAGAAAGAGAATGGGTCATGGTTTGTGCTTATGCAGCTTGTGAGCCCAGGAACATGGCTCTGCGATCTCACACTGGAGAGGTATGAAGTTCGAGAGAGAAAAGCCTCCAAGAAGGTATTATTTGTATGCATACACACACACACACACACACACACTATATTCTCCGCATTTTACGTTATAGATCGTTAAATTTCTTCTTGTTTGTATCAATTTTCTGGATTCGGTGCGTGCAGAGACCCAGAGGTTTGAAGGCAATGACTACTATCGACTCCGAATCCGAATAAATGGTATATACCGATGGACGCATTTTCTTTTATTCCTTTTTTACAGAGTCTATACCATGTTAATTAATTTGTATCCTTCCACTCATAAATAATACGTAATCAAATTTATATAACTATATCATACACTTGAAACATATATTCAATTTTACGAGACAAATTTATGTGTAATTGACCAGAGTGAGGAACATGTTCTTTAAACACACAAAAAAAACAGAGAAAATTATAACAAATTCCAAGCAAATCAAATCAGAAAGAATCAACCTAAACTAAACGGACATAATCCGTCGCATTCTAATATTTTCCACATGGAACTAATGAACTTCGACTTTGGAAAAATACAATTCACAAGACCTATATTGAGAAAGCACATCAACAATTAAATAATGTATCAAACTTCTTCGATATATATATATATATATATATATATGTGTGTGTGTGTGTGATGAATCAAAGCGTCCACGACTTAAACGACTAATAAAGCCTCCAAGGTATCAAAGACATGATTTGATCGTAAGGATATCGATAAGGAATACAAATGAAAACACGATTTAAAGGACATTGGTCGGAAAGATAAATGAAGATGCGATAAAAAGAAAAGGCATCGATCAGAAAGATCTCGGTCCAAGTCAGGAACTAGAAAATCAACAAAGATTTTCGACAATCCAAAAAGAAAGATCAATGAAGACGTCCGCATAATAAAAATCGAATGAGTAAGAAAAGAATCGGTCTCAAGGGATATTGAATTTCCATGCGAAGAATAAACCCATATCAAAGAAAACGAATAAGACAGACTCACAAATCAGACGTATATGAAATGAAGAAAGAACTGAAAGAGAGATGGGAAAGAGGGACCAAGAATCTGATCACATACCCAGATAATTCTCATCTGGTATCTTCATCACTATCGTCCATGTTTCTAACATGAATTTCCACACATGCTTGACAAACCGATTGCTTGGTTGAGTCTTATTATCTGGTAATTTAGTAATCAGTAGAATAAATCCGATGTAATTGTTGTGTCTAAGTTGGCATCATTCACAAGAGCAGTTCTGCAGATAAGTTTTCAAATTCAGAAGATGTTTTTGGAGTAGGAGTTACCTGCAGCATTCACAGGAGCGTCTGCCAAGGGTGTCTCCGAGTCCGTCCGGGAAATTTACGGGTCTGGGTTTAAAAATTGAAACCCGACCAACATTCGAGTCCAGTCCGGACATTTTGACACCCCAGCCACAGGTGCGTATTGGTGTAGCCTGAGCATTTTTTTAGATGTTCCCAAATTGTAACAGGTCAGATTCTATTAAATTCTTCCGCATGTCTATGATTGGATGTAGAGAATGCTCGGTGGAATCTAGGAGAGAGAAGCAAGGAATCCAACAGCAAATTACATTTTCTTAATCAATTATAGAATGCGACACCAGAAGTTAAAATGCCCAGTGATTGGCTGTTTGAAAAGAACATGGATTTTTTTTTTTTTTGCATTCTCTCTCATTCCGATAAACAAACCGGCCAGAAAGCTGTACTCTCTGATCCAAGAAAACGTATTGATTGCAAAACTACTTGTAAAAGTGGAAACACACACATGTATAACTCAAAGAGCAGAACGAGGAAATTCTCAGAAACATAGAGGAATCATAAAACATCTCATACCAAAATCCAAAACACAAATATACTAAAATCGTCTACAAACCACAACCACAATCCTCTAGAAACATATATGAACCTCGTGTGTAAATATATAAAGAGATAGATGGAAAAATAGATCAGCTAGAGGAATACACACGAATAAGATGAATGCTATACGTAGACAAAAACAAAATGCAAAACCATTCTCTGTACGAATCGCGACCTCAGACTCAGATCCGACGAGCAGAGCCGAAGACTAGGGCCACAACGGCTGCAGCACTGGCGTATATGACGGACGGCGAGATGGCACCAGACCCAGAAGTAGGACTTGGCGCCGGAGCTTCGACGGACTGAGCCGACGCGACGGCGGAAACGACGGCGACAATCACCGCCATGAGAGGGAGAAGAGAGGCCTTGAAGATCACCATTGTCTTCGAAATCGAGAATTAGGGTTTCTTTGTCTCAAATTGACAGACGATTTTCGGCAGAAGAAGAACGAGACGGAATGCAAAGAAACTGTGGTGAAGCGCATATAAAGAACTCGGGCACCTAGGGAGCTGCCCTGTTGGTCGGGCAGCTACCCGGATTTTCCACCCTGGGAATTCTGTAATTACAGCTGGTCCATCCGTAGGACCCACGGCCTGAAAAATCGAGGGCTAAGATTATGCCACGTAATCACAGTGACCTAGACAACTTATCTCTCTCTACCCACCCAACGGCGCCGTTTCACCGAATTCCCACCACAGCCTCCGATATTGTGGTCGGAGGACAGACGTCGAACCAACCCACGAAGGCGCGTGGGTCTAACTCGGAGGTTATACCGTTGGATCTCGCGTGTTAGATGTACGCGCGACTAAGGCGAGATTTTAGCCGAATAATTCACAGTTGGAAGCGGGGTCCACATGCACATGGGCGCTTAACTGTTAAGCAAAAATCATTGACACACATCAAAGGCGACAATTCTCTTTTGGGAATTATATTTTCTAATTTGAAAATGGTTACAAAGGCGCTGTAGTTTTATGGTTCGAGAACCTTCGATAACCAAATTCTGAAATCAATTTCATTTAACAAAACATCAAAAATAAAATAAAAAATAAAATAATCATTGTAATTCTTATTAAACTATCCATTTTTCCTCAATCTAATTTCCGATATCTGAGTTCGAGTTCCGGGTTCATCAAAATCCCAGGACCTTGGGAGCTAAGTGAAGCAAAGGCTCCAAAGCACTGGGAGCAAACTTCCGTGCAAAGAGATAACACATGGAAGTGTTGTGACCGTTGTAACTGCAGTTACGACCACCATGGATCCTCCCAAAGAAATCCTCCGTCATGTCTGAACGGCCGAACGTTGCCGGATGGGCTCCGCCTCGTGACCAGTCCACCCAAGTGACGCTCCGGTTGGCCAAGAGCCCTGGTTTCTCGACATTCAACATCGTCGGGAAGTAATGCTCATCCACGTAGCAAGCGGGTCGGCAAAAGTCTCTGAATTTCGGGTAATACACGGTGTCCTTGACGATCGTGACCGCCAGCTCTCGGTTTACTTCAAACCACTGCGACCCTTTTCGCCACTGAGTGATGTCCATTTCAGGGGCCATGCTGCTGTTGTAGCGGCCACGGCCGTAGGGACCAGGATCGTCGAACGAACCGACGAAACTGTGTTTGGATTTGGTTATGTATCGGTGGATTGTGGTGAAGTTGAAGAGAGGTATGCATGTCTCGGACAGGAGAACGAACCATTCGTTCGAGATATCGAGTAGGGCGTTGGCGAGAAGCCGTCTCTCTGCGTCACACATTGTCATTCTCCCCCATTCAGCGGCCTGCACATTAAAAGATATACAATCACACTCGGAATACACATCCGAATACTTCGGGAAATGAACAGGACTCGGAGAATAGCTCGTATGGTATAACACGCGAGCCTCATGAATAGTCTCCGTGTCCAAGACAATGGACACAGAGACAAGGGATTGGCTGACGTGGGTACCCGAAACAAGTTGACCCTCGAATGCCCATCTCACAGGTACCCGTCCCGCAAGAACCTGACCGCGGATGCATCCCCTCCGGAAACCCGAGCTTCAGGTTTCCTTGGCCGATTACCTGTACTGGCAGCAAGACTGGACTCTCACCTTGAGAGTCTCGCTCTTTCTCGCCTTTATCCTCTCTTCCACCATCACCCCCCATTCCATTATCTCCTCCTCGTCAGCCACCTAACTGCCCCTAACCCTGTGGCACTTGCCTCATCGTCTGGGCACCACTCAGGTAGCCAAACTCTCATCACAACTTGTGGGTTTTGCAGCGAGGCCGAGATACTTTGGCGGTGAAACCCGAGGGGTGAGGTCAAAACCAGGTACCCAAAAACTCAGGTATCTTCTGACCTGTGCCTACCCAACAGGCTGTTTTCTTGTGATTCCCTCATCTACTTACTTCAGGTTCTATGGCATCCAATTTAACCTCGTCATCTATGGTTTGATCATGTGCCACTAAATAATTCGATTTGGTCCACATCTACCTACTTGGCATTCACAATTACAGGTTATACCAATCTGGAAACAACACTATGTCAGCAGAGCAGAAGAACGTTTTGCAAGAACAGGGACAAAGAACGGTACCTTACTCGGGATCTGCCTGCGGTAGAAAACAGAAGAAGGCGGAAACTTGGCTGTAAAAGAAGGGTGAGAATGGATGTAAACTGAGTAAAGCCCTTCATATCCCTTGAGAAACCTCTCCCAAAGAGGCGAAAGAGGCAACGGCCCCTTCGTCAAGAACATAAACGCAATCTTTGGAACTCTGTTAAAAGGGTATTCTTTTCTCCGGGGCACGAAAGATGCCCGCCAAAGGAGCTCTTCGTCGCTCATTTCGTGCATCAGATCTGACGGAGGTCTTATCCATCTGTCCAGACCATTCTCTTCCCCATGGCACGGCACGAAACCAGAAGCGACTGTGGTGTGAATCCCGAAATACTTGACCATTGATACACTAATGATAAAGAAGGCAATAGAGAAAGATAGAAACACTCCCAGTAGTAGAAGATATTTGAATGACACCGGCTTGTTCTGCCCTCCTCGGCCTGTCCCAATGACCCCATTTTCCTTACCATCCTCCAACTGTACAACCCTAGACTGCATCCTTACACTAAGCAATTTCAATCTCCAGACTTATCAACAAAACCTATATGCAGAAACAGACATCAACCCAACAATGTCATCCTCTAAACCACCAAAATTGATCAGAGTCGACAACTCGATTGTTGTGGCAATCCAAGTCAACTATTAATGTTCTTCCTCTAAACCGCAAAAACACAGAGCCTTAGACCCGCTGTGTTTTCCGACCAGAAGTATCTAACATTCCCCGGTAGGAAATGGCTAGTCTCAATCCACCGTATACTTCACTAAGCCGAAAATTCCAACACCCTGAAGCAACCGAACACTCCAGTTAAACAACTGAAGTTACTGAACCAACAGCTTCTGCAACTTTTTCAAATATAAACCCTTAAAATCGAAAACCCAGAACCCGAAATCACTACAGGGCTCGGTACGACCCCTGTATCGTCGCCGGAAAAGCAACCCAAACCTCGGAGCAATCGACGACCAGACTTCCCGACGGTCAAAACCTGTATACAGTACACAGATCAAGAGCTACTTCAAGACGACCCTTCCCCAAGGAAACCCAGAACCCAAGGGAGAAACGCCGGAATTTTATCTGGGTCTCACAGCAGAAAGAGAATCAACGCGGGAACTTATAGGAAAACAAGAGCCTTAATCATGGGAACGGGAAGGATCATAGAGAATTTCTGTTGGGATTTACGAATCCATGTCGAAACGTGTAGACACAGAGAGAGATCGTGAGAAGTACGACGACGAATCTCAGAGAGAGAGAGAGAGACGTCGCGAAGCGGCTTTGTTTCGCGTAGACGAACGAGTGTCGAGTAAAGTGGAGGGTCTGCTTCGGCAGAAACGTAAAAAGGACGGAAGGATGCAAAGACTCTGGGCCGGTCAGAGCGTTCAATTCCAAACCAAGCCCGGATCAAAGTCTCGTGAGGTGTGTAATCTCATGTTTTTGTACACGATTCTATTTTTGTAAGGAAATTTGTACTTTTATTAAAAGATCATTTTATTTCTCTTTTAAACTTAATTATAATTAAATTCAAAGTATCTACAATATTAAATGTTGAAAATATTAGTTAGATTCTAAGATTTGCTGCTTTTTAAATTCAATTATGATCGATTTTTTACTTTGATTTTTTTATATAAATTTAAAACAAATCTAAAAATTCATCACAAATTAAAAAAATATTTCATGTTGATATAAATAGAATTTTCATTTAAACTGCAGGCTTATTTCTTTTTTTAACCGGAATAGAATTAGTAATTTTTTTATTATCACAAATTAGATTCATTAACTTATATTTCTCATTCTATTATTTTTCACAAATTTGTCATTTAAATAGTTATTCATTTTAATGTACTATATGTAGAATTGAAATTATTAAGAGAATTCATTGCTAAGAAAATATGATGAAATTTATTGATATTTAAATTTATTTGAGATATATGAATTGTTTTTCTAGTGCACAAATTGTTTATAGAATATTTGCTAAGCATTATTGCGACCGTTGCATACGTAGAATATTTCCATTTTATAACTATTCAATAAATTAGCATTATAAAAAAAAAAAGATTTCTTGGATGAAATTAAGATTTAATTGATATTTTATTTCAAATGAAATTTGAAGAACTATATTATTTAAGTGGTATATTGATTTCTTTATATTATTTTAGAAAATATCTGTTTATGTTATATTCAATTAAATTTAGGAATTTATAAAATGTTATATTTAATTTAAATATTTTATACGAAATCTAAAAACAATTACCAATTAAATCAAACATAAAATAAAAAACGAATCGAGTAATAAATATTAGAATTTAAGATATTCATCAACTTATCAAAATCAATTTGTAGTTTTTTTGTACTTTTACATTACCGTATTAATCATTTTCATCATCTTTGAACAATATATAAAAAAAAGTAAATAGAGATGCATTAGTAATAACTCGACTTTAATAAAAATAAAGATCTTTTATATCTGTTGCAAAATTTGTTAGCTAAGACATATTAAAATTTATACATTTCAAAAAAAGAAGTCGACATTTATGATTGCTTAAAGTATGAAAACAATGTTAAATGATGATTTCAGAGGCATTTTTGGTTATGCAAATATTCAATAATCAATAGGTTGTAAACTATCTGTATTAAATCACGTAATCGATTTAATAATATTATCATTTCAATTTCTCAAACTTGCAGATAATAATAATATGCCGATTTCAACATTTTTATTCATTTAAATATAGCTTAGAATTAAGCGCAAATAACAAAAACAATTTATCCATCAATTCGAAAACAGCGAGAGAGAAAAAAACACGCAGATCCCAGTCTGACTTAGAAACCGAAAACGGCATGGGTTTCACAGGAAACCAGGATCTGTATGTGACAGAATCCAAAACATATTCTTCATTTTTTTGTCTGAAACTCACTGCTTAAATCCTCCGTATTGTTATTGTTGGCCACTGAGGCTGGAGAAGGAATCGTCCGAGTTATCAGTCGCTTGCTGGTGGGGAGCGTACAGTCCCGTTCCACCGAGACCAGAGCCCGTTCCCATCGACCATCCTGTGTAGTGTGCGGCCGTAGCTGCCTTTTGTTGTTCACCCGAGACATTGCTCAGATCACCCACGACGCCCACATCCGCCAATGATACTTTCTTGGCTGAGAAATGACGTTTCCATGGACAATAGTTAGGACATGGAAGAGATTCGGGAAGCAAAACCATGAATCTTTTGGTAAACATCAGATCGTTTACAAGACCCAGAAGAGTCTGTAACATGTATCTATAACATGATGGCAAACCAAATGGCTCGTTGTTTATCGGATAGAGTTTATAAGGGAAAAAAACAGTACTTATGATTCGTAATTATATAAATTCTGAAAGAAACCAGCACTTGCCACAGGACGAGAGCTAGTATAAGGAGAAAAAAACACTATGACTTACGAGCAGTTATATTAAGGTCAATCAGTCCTCGGCTCAGTGAGTCGGCCCAAAGTCCAGATTTCACCTGGAAAGCATCCTTCTTTTGTTACTTGCACTACCATTTGGTAAACATACTACTACTAGAAGTTCCACGAGGATCAAAATCATGGTCGTCGTTTAAAGGAGCTTCACAGTGTTCACCAGATTCTTGATGCTTTGACGAAGACTTTGTTCCACTGGATAACTTATCTTGATCCTTACTGCAGATTGAGAATTGAAACCACATAGAGACAAGAATGCTAAATCATCAGGCCAACGGTTGGCCGCCAACCTCAGTTATATAAAAGACATGCAAGCAAAAAAAAAGTCCAGAAGTCAGAACCAAAAAACACAAATGAGCATCATTAACAGGAAAACACATTTGCAGAATCCAAGATATGTCAATTTTGCAAAATGACAATAACATCAGAAAAGCAATGGGTTTATATGCAACACCTGCCATAGTGTGAATCACTCTTCTTCGGACTGTAACTATGTTTGTCGCTTTTAAAACCATGCCTTGACTTTCTGAAAGAATCAATATCGTTCTTCTCCACTTCTCCGCAATCTCTATCCTTATAGCTGTCAAAGTTTCTCGAACCACTTTGATAACTACCACCATATGAAGCTGAACCAGACTTGTATGTTATTCCAGTTGATGAAAGGCCAACATACCTAAATTGAAAGTGGGACAGATCAAGGCTCCATAGAGACACCAATGACCTTAGAAATGTTTCTTTTCACTTTTAAATAGACTAACTTGTTACGATTTGATGCTGCTTTCTCTCTGGTTTCCTGGATTTTTTCTTTATTATTCAACAGAGCCACTATGTTTTCTGCCTTTTTCCTCACATTAATTCCCACATCTTTTCCATTTGGTTCCACATACTCGAAGCTTGTGAGTGACTACGCCAATGAAAATGAAAAATCAAGCAAACGAGAAATTATTTCTGAAAAAGACCCACATTCTCCAATTGTGAGCAATAAAAACCATATAGCACTGAATTCGAGGCAGGTACGTACAGATATTTGGTAAGTATGTTCAATAATCTCATCAACCGCACGATCTGATCCGTGTGAAATCAGATACTCTATAACGGCCAGTGCCTGATAGCAACATAATATGGGATCACACCAATAGCATAAACTGTGGAAAGAAATTACCACAGGAAAACATCAAGAAGATTCTACCTTATAGACATAACGCCAATCTTTTCCTGCTTCGCCTAACCTTGTCCATAGAACATTCATAACCATCTGGCACTCCGTGCTAAGCATATGGCCAACCAACACGAAAAGCATTATAAAATAAAATAAAAATGTTGAAAGTAGAATTGTATATAAAAGAATAGTTTTTGGGAACATAGCACATAAGGAGTAAACTGGGAGATTACAATTTCTTTGTGGCCTGAGCTATCTCGGCCAATGCAGAACCGTGGGGGCCCCAAGGTTCATTATCTGTAGAATCCAATACCTGCACTAAACACAAGTCAAAGATTTATTAACATAACTAGACCTCAATAATTTCATCATCAGCACACTCTGGGTTGGCCTTGAATGGTAGGAGTTTTTGGAGTTTTTAGAATCTAAAAACAAAAAAAAAACAACATTCAAGTTTTTACAAAATTACTTTTCCTAAAAACTTGGAAAGCCATTTTAGTGAAAAATTCAATGAAAAACCAAAAGCTACTTTTTTTGAGTTTTCAAATATTATAAAATCCAAAAGTCAAAAAACAAAAACTAAAAACCAAAATCCAAAAACTAAAACCAAAAACCCAAAATAAAAGCCATCTCCATTCAAAGCCTTAGAATAGAACCTGAGGTTGAACTCCAAGGACAAGATCAAACACAGAATTCAGGCAGATAGAAGCATACACATTGATGATCATCCAACACAATGGCCAGGTGCTAGCTTGTTCTACATTGATTTACGACGTATCAATCCTGGAGTGAACCTAATCTCTGGGCCAGTTTCCTAACTCGAACAGCGAAATCACAACAATAATGCAGCTTAACTACTCATTCTTACAGGCAATTTCATTTTATAGATTCGTTTTCAAGCATCAAGCTGAAACAATATTACATCGTAGAGAATTTGCCCGACAACCAGACAGACATTTCAGAACATATAGAGAGACGCTCGAGGACCAATTCTCACCTTTTGCTCGATCTCGGGGACCTTCAAAACCTTCAGATTCACCTCCCTCTTTCTGAAATCGGAAAAGCATCAAAACAAGACGATCATTTCAGGAAAATCAACATTGATTTCGATTTTGAATCGATCGGATCCAAAATCGAAGAAGATTAGACGGACTACCCGGAAAACCTACATTTCCCGAATCGTTTCATCGAAGACCTTCATGAAATCCATTTCGAAACTGAGGAACCAGGATCAACGAGTGAAACAAAACCTGCAAAATTTTTGGTGGGAGGAGAAATTGAGATCTGATCAGGCGACTGGTTCGGTTTGTTTTATTTATCGCTTTTTTTTTTTTCCTTCAATCAACGCTCTCTGGATCGGGAATATTACCCAAATAAATCGCAGCAATTTCAGGGTACACCACCAAAAAAAAATAATTTTTTTTTCTAATTTTAACCCACTTTTCGGTTGAAAAAGTCCAAAATACCATTTTCGTTTTATTTTTTGCGACCTTTTTGCGACTAACATATAACTCATATACAACTAAAATAAGACGGATGATTTTTTTTACCACTTGTTTGTAACTATATTTAGAATTAATTATGAAGTCGTAATAACGAAGTTGTTTTTGAACGGATAAATATCGCGATTCATTAAGGGTAATTTCGTCTTTTTATGGAGAAAAAAATATGTTATGTTTTTTGTGTTGTACAGGTGAAATAGATGCGACCCAAGTGGGTCATTTGAGTCAAGAACCCCTCTGGATCAGTGGTCCGTACAAACGGCCGTTGAGAAACAAAAACGGCACGAACTCCTTGCTTTTGTGGTCCCAATAAAACGGCATACGTGTTAAATCTTTGATAAACATTTAAACTTCGTGCCGTTTCTTCAATTCCTTTTTTTTTCACGATTCCTTTTCTCTTTTTTCCCACGAATTCCTTTTTTATTCAAAATTTAAAGAATCAAGATAATAACAATAATAATCATATTATTCAGATTTAAAATAGAAATACATAGAAGATTAATAAAATCATAAAATAAAAAAGAGGATGCAAAACAAGTAAATAAATCGCATTTTTGGTTGTGTTCTAAAAATCGTGTACTTGGAAAATGGAATTGCAAAAATCACACCGAGAACTTCATATTATTTGAGTAAATTATAAATTTAGTATCCATAAATTCGGTTTACAAAAGAAAAACGATAAAGGTAAAAATAAAATAAAAATAAAAATAATATTTCGATATATTTGATATCGGTTTCGTATTTTCAATTTTTTTAATTAGATTATCTGATCTTGATTTTATAAAGGTTAATAATATTCGAGAGAGAGAAAACACGAGGAAACGTGGGGTGACGAGGTGAGGAAAGAAGCAAAGTGGGTGAGTTTCACTTGGCCAGGCCACGAGGAAATATGCAAAGGAACGAGGGGCAAAGAAAAATAGGTTCAAAGAGAGCAAAGACGTATTCAAAGTCCGAAGAAGACGGTGAAGGTAAAGGTGAGCATTTCGTTATTCCGGTCTTGAATGACATTGGTTTTTATTTTGGGTTTTTGGCTTTAGTTTTTGGTTTTTGGTTTTTAGTTTTTAGTTTTTTTTTTGTTTTTATAAGTTTGTAAGTTCTTGAATGGTTAGAGTTTTTAGAATCCAAAAATCAAAAAAATTATCATTCAAGTTTTCACAAAATTACTTTTCCTAAAAACTTGGAAAGCCATTTTAGTGAAAAAATCAAAGAAAAATCAAAAGTTACTATTTTTTAGTTTTCAAATATTATAAAATCCAAAAAGCCAAAAATCCAAAAACTAAAACTAAAAACCCAAAATAAAACTCATCCCCATTCAAAGTCTAAAACTCATCCCCATTCAAAATCTAAAAAAATATGGCTTTTGGTTTTTAGTTGATTTTTTCCATAAAATAGATTTCCGGATTTTTAGGAAAACCAAATTTCAAAAAACTTGATTGTCGGTTTTTTCAATTTTTAAAATCCAAAAACTCCGAAAACCACTTCTCATTCAACACCTCAATTCAGATTCGAGTCGGAAATAATTTAGTTCAAATTCTTTCGAGTCTACAAAAATATATATCAATCAGTTATTATATTATATTCCATTCGGTTCGATTTCAGTTTTTATAAAGAACATTTTAGATATATTTTTTTTAAATCGATTTTTCGAGATTTTTTAAAATTCTATTCGGTTCGATTATATTCCAAAAAAAGTCGGTTTTATAAAAAATATCGTTTAAGAATTTTGGCTGGCTTGATTTAAAACGGTATCATATTTTTCGATTTTGTACGACTCGAATCCTCGAAATTGCACCGAAACCCAACAGGTGAAGGTAACGACGAGTGACGATTGACGAGAGCGGAGTAAGGTGTGTTATGAGGAGTGACGCCTCTCTTCATCACCCTTCACTGTCCCTCCTTATCCATAGTCATGACCTTAAATCTCGGTGTCCAAATTTATTGTGGATCAAATAATTGTTAAACGAAAATTGAATTTAGATGAAAAAAAATTTTAAGTTCTTGTTATTAACGTAATTCATACTTGACTAACCAAAAGATGAGTATTTAGAATTTTAGATATTTTACTTATAGATATTTAAAATTTGGAGATTCATGTCCAAATCATATGAAATGCTTTTTATATACATATATTATAAAAAAATAGAATATTGTAAACTTTCATAAATAAGCCGTTGATTCTAATATTTCACAAACATATAAAACTGTACATTTTTTTTATTATTATTACAATATATACTCTTCATCAAAATGTTATTTACTTTGAACACATAATTAATTAATAAAATTGATTATTATATGTAAAAAAAAGAGATTTTATACACTTCAGGCACGGATAACAAGTCATAAACGACCATCTATTTGTTTTGGAAACACTTCTATTTTCAAGCATTGGAAAATGTTGGCTTGAGTTGAGAATAAACCTTTTATTTCTAGTAGTGTTTTCTTGATTTAATTTTGGATTAAGTCATAATATATAAGTAAAAGTTTTTGGTCCATGAGGTAGAATCTCATGCCCACTTATTCTTCCTCTATTCCTATAGTTACCAGGTCTGGTCTCGGTTTGTTAGGCTCATCTTTGATAATCCACCGACGGATCTTCACCTAACCTTGAGTTGGATTGAAAGTTCGGGTAATGACCAATCCCGAAATAGAGGTCTGATAAGCCTCATCCTCCTCCAATGTTCGATCTATTTGATTTGGGCGGAACGAAACGCTCGTCAATTTTGGAACCAAGTTTTGACAGTTGCAGCTTACCATAAGCTGAATGAAATGGTTCGAAAACTGCATTCATTCCCTCCTTGGCTCCTCTCGGAGGTTAGATCCTGTTCTACTTGCGGATTGGTACTATGTCACTCTCTCACATCGTTAACTGTTGTGTAACATTTTGTTTGTCTCGTTCTTGTGATTGTAATGGTGTCATTTTGAGGCACATGTGTACTGCTATTGTAAAGGGTATTCGATCTATAATAGACTTATGTATAAAAACTACTCTATAGTTTATAAAATATTTACCTTTTTAACCAAAAAAAAAAAGTTTTTGGTCCGTCCACGTCACCTGCCTTTTTTGGGTCTCCAGCTGAGCTGGCATATGCGTCAAGAGACTCCTCGAAACTGGTCCATCATAAAAAGGCCATGGACTCAAACGTCGTCGTTCTGACATCCGAAATATGCTGTACCACGTACATTGGCGGTTTTAAATTCAAAAAGCAGTCATTAAATCGTGCAATTAAATCCCTTAAATCATAGTTTAGTTAAACAAAGAGGGTGATTAAATCTATGACACGTGTCTTCACATCATTCGACTCGTTCAGCTGAACCTTCCGGTCTCACGTGAACCATGACACAGAGTAACTCAATCTCGATGACGTGTCAAGGTATTATTTGCTGAGGAAAAAAGTGGCCAATGAAATTCAGTTACTTAAAAGGTTCACGTTAACCTGCCCGCACCTGAATTTTATCTCTTTTCTCCGTTCCAACCTGTTTCCTTCCCCTAGGCTCCTTTCCCTTTCTCTCTCTCCTCTCCCTCTTCCGCGAGGAAAGCAAAGCACTTTTTCTCTCTCTTGAAGCTGTTTCAGCCATTTTCGGAGAGTTTTCTGTGGCTTTCTTCACAATCTTCGTGTGGAAGACGACCTATACATACATGCATACATATATGTATCTACAGATGTATGCATAGGAGTGCTGGAGATATCGAGAGGGAGAGTGCGTGTGGGTCTCTTATGTTTAGCGGCGAGTTTAAGCTTCTTCAGACCCTACGCTCCATGAATCGGATTGGGTTCTAATAGAAACCCTAATCAGGCTTCAACTGTGATGACTCTCGCTACTGGTGGATGGCTCGATTTGACTTCTTCTTCCTCGCCTTCTTTGTAGTTATTACGGCGTTTGCTGTAAACCCTAGCTTGTGCTCAGGTCATGGATTTTCGTTAGTGGTGTCGGATTCGAAACTGGGTTTGGATTCGGATTTGGACCCGGATTCGGAATCGTTCCTTTTCCACCAGGATTACTCGCCGCCAGCTCCGCCTCCACCACCCCCGCACGGACCCTCGGTGTCTTGCGCCGATGATCTCGGCGGGGTGGGGTTTTTGGACACGACTTGTAAGATTGTCGCCGATTTGAACCTCACGCGCGATGTATACATTGCTGGGAAGGGCAATTTTATCATCCTCCCCGGTGTTAGGTTCCACTGCCCAATACCAGGTTGCTCCGTAGCTATCAATGTTTCTGGAAACTTCTCTTTGGGGGCCAAGTCTTCGATTATCGCTGGAACTTTGGAACTCACAGCTGGTAACGCTAGCTTTGCGAATGGGTCGGCTGTGAACACGACGGGTTTGGCCGGAGACCCGCCGCCAGGGATCGATGGATGTGGTGGGGGTCAGGGCGGCAGGGGAGCTTGCTGTTTGACCGACAATAAGAAGCTTCCCGAGGATGTCTGGGGAGGTGATGCGTACTCGTGGTCGACTCTTCAGCGGCCGTGGAGCTATGGGAGCAAAGGTGGATCGACGAGCAGGGAGATTGATTACGGTGGTGGGGGAGGCGGGCGAGTGAAGATGGATATTATGCAGTTTCTGGAGGTTAATGGCAGCATTTTGGCCGACGGAGCTGATGGAGGAGCCAAAGGAGGTGGTGGGTCTGGAGGAAGTATCTTCATCACGGCATACAAGATGTAATGACCCTTCCTATCCTTGTTTTTACTAGTTTACAATTAGTTCAATGAATTATAATCATTGTGGTGAGCAGAAAAGGTAGGTTTTTCAAATGGAAAACTGTGTGCTGATATAGAAAATTTTTCAACACTGTTGGTGATCATCTTGATTAGGAATTTCTCAAAATTATCACCTTACTTTTAACCTTGGTTGAGTTCCTGATAGAAGGGCATACATCTACACTTTTCATTTTTCAGTAAAATATGGTCGAAGTCGAACTTTGCTCATGAGTGGCTTATCTTATTTGGAAGTTCTTTGACTTGAATTTATCGAAGTCTTGTATGCTTATATATTTATATATATATTCCTGATGTTGCCTGTGACCGTTCGTAGTTGCCTTGGCTGTTGTATGAAGCACACATTCACACATGAAATTAATTAGCGTTTCCTTGTTGGTTCAAAGGTTGGTCGATAAAGTTTTTGCTAGATAGAGCTTATTGAAACTTTGTCTTTGGTCTACCAGGATTCTTGTTGAATATATCTCGGCTTTAGGCAGAGTCCCATGATTCTTACTCTTTTGAAGTGCAGGACTGGAATTGGACGGATCAGTGCTTGTGGTGGAAATGGTTATGGTGGTGGGGGCGGTGGAAGGGTATCCGTTGACATTTTCAGCAGGCATGATGACCCAAAGATCTTTGTGCATGGTTAGATCTCTCCCTTAAGGAAGTTATATTTTCCTTCTGCGACTAACTTTCTAGTGGTCCAGTCCCCCTTTATGTGGTCTCCACTGCACCTATTTCCTCTTGCAGGAAGGAATCTAGTTTAGTTTCTGGTTGTTTTCTTCACGATTAAGGTTAATGGATCATGAATGCTGATTTCAGAATTCTTTGTTTCTCATATTTGTTTATCTGACTTTGAGCGCTATTCGAGACATTTCTGCTGTAATTCCATGTATTATTAGCTGATAAGCCGTTAAATTTTCAGTTAACGAGCCTTTTGATCTTTGCATCATCAGTTATTTTGTTAACATAGGCATTAACTTGCGGTTCAGCTTTGAGCGAGTAAATGTTGTACTCATAAGCTTAATTGCATTTGGACTGTGTGAACTGACTATGTTCTCATACATGCAGGTGGATACAGTATTGGTTGCCCAGATAACGCAGGTGCTGCTGGGACGCTATACGATGCTGTTCCCCGTAGCCTTTTTGTTAGCAATTACAATATGTCGACAGATACTTATACTCTTCTCTTAGAGTTTCCTTTCCAACCTCTTTGGACCAACGTTTATATTCAGGATCGTGCAAGAGCTACTTGTCCTCTGCTTTGGAGTCGTGTCCAGGTATTAGAATATGGATTTTCAGCACAGAAGCCCTTCTAGCGTTCCTGTTTTGCTTTATCACTTTCTGCACTCTTCCATTTATGTTTAGAAGTCGTGATACTTGTATGCAAGGAGACCATCCATTGGTTCTGTCTGAACTCGAATGTCTTCTGTCAACAGTTTCTCTCTTGGCATGCTTTCATATTTCTTGAGCTGCTGAATGCTTTCGCCTATCCAGTATTTATTTCTGCAGTGGATAAATCTTTATGTAGGTCCAAGGTCAGATTAGTTTGTTATGTGGTGGCGTTTTAAGCTTTGGACTAGCGCATTATGCTACATCAGTGTTTGAACTGTTGGCTGAAGAACTCTTAATGAGTGACTCCACTATCAAGGTGACAGCAATCGTGCTTCTCTGTTTCCCTCTGTTGAAAATCATGGATGCAAATGCACCGTATTGTTATGCTTTGTGATTATGTGGATATCCGGCTGCTTCACTTTTGGGTGTATTACATTTTCTCCCACTCCAGGTTTTATTTCATTGCTTGCTTGCCTAAACTTGGTGTTCATTATGTTTTGTGATTATCTGGGATTTGCTAGGTTTATGGAGCATTACGCATGACTGTCAAGATGTTCTTGATGTGGAATTCACAGTTGCATATAGATGGAGGAGGAGATACAACTGTAGCCACTTCCATGCTTGAGGCTAGCAATTTATTTGTTCTCAGGGTACTTGAATTATCATTCTTGCTATTTGTACCTTCATACTGTTTGGGGCATGCCTTAGGATCTAATTTGTTGATATTTTCCCTTGGCTCTGAATGTAGGGATCATCTGTTATCCGGTCAAATGCAAATCTTGGAGTTCATGGCCAAGGTTTCTTAAATCTAACTGGACCAGGGGATTCAATTGAAGCACAAAGGCTTGTGTTGTCTCTGTTTTACAGAATTTATGTAAGGGCTTTTCCTGTGTTGGATTTTCTTCCTTTTTTTTTCTTCTTTTTATCTAGTCCTGCATTAGATGGCTTACTGAAATTTTGTGCAGATGTGAACAATAGTTTGTGGTTTTAGTTCTGAGACTAGGACAAGTATATGCATAATTTGACAAATACTTTTTTAAAGGTTATTGGCATTAATCTCTATAGATATAGGACAGACTTTGCGATGTAGGAGATAGTAATTAAATCTTTTCATGTGAAGGTTGGGCCGGGTTCTATTTTGCGTGGTCCTCTACAGAATGTGTCAAAAGATGCCGTGTAAGTTTGGAGGAAAACCCCATCCTCTTACTAAGTTAGTTTTAATTATTCTTTGGGGTAGAAAATAGCTGTATTAATGGTATTCATTTCCTGTTTAGTACTCCAAAGCTCTACTGTGAACAACAAGATTGTCCTTATGAACTATTAAACCCACCGGAGGATTGCAACGTCAATTCATCTCTGTCCTTCACTCTCCAGGTTCTTACTGACCACAACTTATATTGTTTCTAGTTTGAAAAATCTGTATGTAATTGTTTTCTATTGTAGATATGTCGTGTTGAAGATATTCTTGTTGAAGGCTTCATCAAAGGATCAGTAGTTCATTTTCACCGTGCAAAAACAGTAACCCTTCAATCCTCCGGAGAAATAAGTGCTAGTGGAATGGGTAATTCAAACTTTTTGCTTTATTTTTTTTGTGTGGATGAAGATGTTTTCATTCTATACGTTTTCATCTTTCTGCTGCATTTCTTTGGGCTTCTACTTCTGTTACACTTTGGTTTTCTCCTGTTTATAATAATTTAAGTTGCTTTCTACTCATAAAAGTTGGGACTTGGGGGAGAAAAAGATAAAATCTTTCTTTCTTAGTATTTTGTTCTTTTGTAACATACATGTGTTATTGCGTTAATTTTCCATACAGGGTGTAGAGGTGGGGTGGGTGAAGGTAAATTTCTTAGTAATGGGATTGGCAGTGGTGGTGGGCATGGTGGTAAAGGTGGGCGTGTATGTTATAATGGTAGCTGTGTAGACGGTGGCATTATGTATGGAAATGCAGATCTGCCATGTGAACTTGGCAGTGGAAGTGGCAATTATAGATCAGATTATTCTGCTGCTGGTGGTGGAATCATAGGTATGCTATGTCTGATATTTCGATGTTCGTCAATCATGAAGTTTAGATTGTCTTTTACAGTCCATGCAGAATAGTTGCCGATGACTGTTAATAATGTTGATCTAATTGTGGGAATTGTCTTTTGTTATCTTATAATATGTTTACAATTGATACCCTGTTAGCATTGGAGAAACTTGCCAGTGTTGCCATTCTTACCTAACAGTACATACTATGCACGTTTTTGTGGTTAACTTAGTGCCTGTAAAAGTGATACCTGATCATTGATTCTTTTATTTCCTATGAATCTGGGCAGTAATTGGTTCGATGGAGCAGCCACTATCTGGTTTATCCCTTGATGGCTCAATTAGGGCTGATGGAGAAAGTGTCAGGCATATGGTAAGAGATGAAAATGGTTCTAGCATAGGACCTGGTGGTGGTTCTGGTGGAACAGTCCTTTTGTTCTTGCATTACCTTGCTCTAGGAGAGTCATCTGTTCTGTCAAGTGGTGGTGGTTCTGGTAGTCCAGTTGGTGGTGGAGGAGGAGGAGGTGGGAGGATTCATTTTCACTGGTCAAACATTCCCACCGGGGACATATACCAGCCTATTGCTAGCGTAAAAGGAATGATCCATACAAGGTATGTACCGTGAAGACCTTCACCTCTTCCATGGACACTAATTTATTGTTTCTGTATGTATTAATTATTTTGAATGCATTCTATATTTGATTGAGCGATCACTTGCATTCGATGTGGTATTAACAGAGCAAATATATTTGTAATAATTAAAGGGGAGGACTGGGGGGAGATGAGGGTTACGCCGGAGGAAATGGCACAGTGACAGGAAAAGCTTGCCCAGATGGACTCTATGGTATTTTCTGTGAGGTACAAATAGAACATGGAATTGTGTTATTATCATCATATTGCGTTGGTGAAATATTTAAATTGGCCTTTCCTTCTTCGAAGTAATAAATTTAGTATTACACTCAAAGAGTTTATATGCTGCTCATGCAGATGGGAATCAATATTTACTCAGGGATTGGCTTTTACTCGATATCACAGAACTCTTTTGTACTTGAATAATGGTAATATTTTCAAAAAATTCCTTTTTTTTTTCAGGAA